TCTCTCTCTCTCTCTCTCTCTCTCTCTCTCTCTCTCTTCGCTCTTCCCTTCTCCTCCTGTCTCTGTCCTTCGAACACTTCACCATCCAATTACCTTTTTTTTTTTTTGGCCCTCGTTACGTTAGCGACAGGGCCTTTCACTCCGCGCGGCACCTCCACCCCTCCCGTCCTCCACGCATCGACTGACTCGACTTGCTGCCCCCTCTTTCCTCCTTCCTTTCTCCCTCCTTCCTCCCTTTCTCCCTCCTCCTCTCTCCCTTCTTCCTCATACATCTCTCCCTCCTCCTCCCTCCCTCGTCCTCTCCCCTCTTTTGTCGTCTATCTGTACCTCTCTCCTTCCTCACTTTCTCCCTCCTCCACGCAGCACCTCACTTCTCCCTCCTTTTTCCTCCTCCCTTTCTCCCTCCTCCTTCCTCCCTTCTTCTTCGTCCATCTCTTCCCTTTCTCCCTCCTCCTTTCTCCCTTCCTCTCCATCCATCTGTCCCTCCTCCTTCCTCCCTCTCTCTCCATCCATCTGTCCTTCGAACACTTCACCATCCAATCACCCTTTTTTTTTTTTTGGCCCTTGTTACGTTAGCGACAGGGCCTTTCACTCCGCGCGACACCTCCACCCCTCCCATCGTGCACGTGTCGACTGACTCGACTCGCTGCCCCCTCTTTCCTCCTTTTCTCCCTCCCGCTTCCTCCTTTTCTCCCTCCTCCGCTCTCCCTTCTTCCTCGTCCATCTCTCCCTCCTCCCTCCCTCCCTCCCTCCCTCATCCTCTCCCCTCTTTCGTCGTCTATCTGTACCTCTCTCCTTCCTCACTTTCTCCCTCCTCCACGCAGCACCTCACTTCTCCCTCCTTTTTCTTCCTCCCTTTCTCCCTCCTCCTTCCTCCCTTCTTCTTCGTCCATCTCCTCCCTTTCTCCCTTCTTCTTCATCCATCTCCTCCCTTTCTCCCGCCTCCTTTCTCCCTTCCTCTCCATCCATCTGTCAGCACAAAAACAGATATGGTAATATTCTGAATCAAAGTACCCACTGGTATATATGCTAATTGTACACGATTTCCCAATGCTTGCTCCAGGTTCCCAAAGCTATGCACATTATTCATGACTGGGCTGCCCTCAAAACCACATTCGTAAGCTGACAGTTTTTCCGGATAAGTTGTGTTTTTAATAAACAGTCGCTACCCCCTGTTATGTGCCCTCCTTCCTCCCTCTCTCTCCATCCATCTGTCCTTCGAACACTTCACTATCCAATCACCTTTTTTTTTTTTGGCCCTTGTCACGTTAGCGACAGGGCCTTTCACTCCGCGCGACACCTCCACCCCTCCCATCGTGCACGCGTGGACTGACTCGACTCGCTGCCCCCTCTTTCCTCCTTTTCTCCATCCCGCTTCCTCCTTTTCTCCCTCCTCCGCTCTCCCTTCTTCCTCGTCCATCTCTCCCTCCTCCCTCCCTCCTCCTCTCCCCTCTTTCGTCATCTATCTCTACCTCTCCTTCCTCCCTCCTTTCTGCCTCCTTCTTCCTCCCTTTCTCCCTCCTCCACGCAGCACCTCACTTCTCCCGCCTCTTTCGTCCTCTCTTTCTCCCTCCACATGTCGACTCGCTACTCCCTCTTTACTCCTCCCTTTCTTTCTCCCTCCTCTATCCTCCCTTCTTCTTTGTCCATATCTCCTTCCTCCCTTTCTCCCTCCTCCTTTCTCCCTTCTTCTTCATCCATCTGTCCCTCCTCCTTCCTTCCTCTCTCTCCATCCATCTCTCCTTCTTCTAGTTGCCATCCGTTCCAAATTACAATCTCAATTTGGCATTTGCAGTTTTTTTTTTTCCCTACTCCTTTCGGAATGTTGTTTCCCCAATTCGATTTGCTCGTCGTTGCCCGCTGGAGTGTTGCATAGCCGAGGGGGATTAGAGGAGAGAGTGGTCGATCTGGACGAGGGGAGAGGGTTTTCCTTCGAGGGGCTGACCACCATTTTCTGTTGTGGCCTTCTCGGTGATGCAGGTGACAGCGGCGACCGCTCTGCCGAAGCAGCTCGTTGACGACATGAAGAGAGAGAGAGAGATGACAAGGAGGGAGGGCTGACCACCATTTTTGTTTGTTGAAATTTCTAAGAATGTTTAAATTGAGAGAGAGAGAGAGAGGGAACCTTTCCGATGAGTCGAAGTTCAAACAGGTGGTAGACCCAAAAAAAAAAAAAAAAAAAAAAAGGCAGCGCATCTGGCGCACCACCCTAGTGCATGGCCCGCAGGTGCGCGCGCATCAGCGCACAGCGCATGAGTAGCGCGCGCATGCGCATATAGCGCACCTACGCGCCATGCGCGCGGTGCGCACGCACCAGCCATGTGCGCATGGCGCAGCGCACAAATGCGCCGCAAGTATGTTCAATATAGGTACCAAAGTACTCTTTAATTCCTCTAGGCTGATTTGGACTGCGTTTAAATATCACAGCTCCCTGCCTGTGCACCTTGGAGGCAATACCGCATCAAATTTGTAATTTTGAATTTTTGCAGGGTTGCATGTCTGCTGACCAGTGAGAAAGCAGCCATCCACTGATTTTTTCTTAAATCTGAGTTAGGGGCTGTACTGCGCTTGCTGAGCACAGCCCA